AATGATGCGTCCGACTATCAATGAGGGGTCCGACTGTCTACGGAAAAAAAATTTGCAGCGGCGCTATACCTGCAAGTGCCCCAAGGTATACTGCAATCATTGGTCAGAAGGTCTTATATATGCATGCTTAAGTAAGGTAGAAAATTTCAATTTTTCCGAATACATTTTGCAATATTTGCCGACCAGATTTAATAAGAGTCTCAAGAGTCAAGACTTAAATTCATCAAATGATGCCATCAAAAACTTAAAATTTCCTGTTCTGTGCATGGCCAAATTTTATTCATCAGCCGAAAATGGCTGCCTGCAAAAAAAACTAAATATACAGGAATGGATCTAAAACTACGCTTTTGCGCCTTTACAATTTTTTCCTCTATATTCAGGCCAAAACTCTACTGGGTCGACACGGATGGCAACCGAGATACACGTATAACCGGGATACACGAGATGACGAGATACACCGATGACAACCGAGCTTGTATAATAAATATTCACTCGTCTGTTATCTACACATGCATGCGTTGTTGCTTACTTGCTTGCTTGCTTGTAACACAAATTAAACAGTTCGTATTGTGATGTACTTACTTGAGCCATGTTACTTATTAGCATATCATTCTGAAACATGCGGATGAAGATTACCCGAACTTTACAAATGGTAATTAGACGATCAGCCAATAACACTGATATATGAAATACAGCACTTGAGAGAAATCCCATCCATCGAAATGCGGTAGGAAATATCAAAACAACTCTTACCTTACATTATTCTTACCCGATAAGCACTATCCGATTATATTTTGCGTATAGTTTTATGCTTGTGACAAAAAAATGCCATCGACACTGTTTTCTAGACACTTTTTCAACTTTGGCCGGTCGCCGATCGCACAGTAGCCTACAAGCATGCATTGCATGGGTTTTTGAGCCGACAATAAAAACCCGTCAAGGAACATTGAACATTCTCCACCAGGAAAACCTATAAAGTTGCAAGCAACTCTGCATATTGCACACTGCAACAGTTCTGATCATGCAACTGCAATTCTATAGAAATGTAAGTGTATTACAGATTTACATGTATACAGCGCTTTTGCAGATGCGTGTTTTGGATTCGACAATGATTTACAGTCTCCTATAGCATCCTGAAATTCATGACAATGTCGGTTTTCAATTTTGAATTTTAAATTATCAAATAAATCAGAATAACAACTGCATTCAGTGGACTTCATCATTCCAGGAAGATCTGCATGTTCAAAGCATTTGAAAATTGAATGCATTTGCTGAGAGCTGAATAGACCGATTGTCAAAAACCTGGCAAAACACTCGCAATTTTTCAGTCATCTCATATTTGCTGGTGTATGTATCACGCTATATTTTTGGCTGGAAAATGGTGAAGCTTATACACATTCAAGTTTTAAAGCCGCGACGGCTTGGTCACACTACACAACGATACGATAACTTTTTTGCATCCCTTGTCAATGATGCCGGTCAACAACTGATGATTCCCCTTATTACGTTTTCGTAGCGCTTTGCATTGTGGTTATAGTGGTATCACAGTATCACTGATAAAGATAGCGGCCTCGAATGAAAATATTGAATGTTTTCGCGAATATTTTGCTATTGGCTATCGCGCACCTGACCCTAGCTTTTATTAAAAGTTCTTGCACGGGTCAGGACAAAAAATAAGCCATCTTGAATATCAGTGATACCACTATAACCACAATGCAAAGCCCTACGAAAATGTAATAAGGGGAATCGTCAATTGCTTGTCCTCGAATTCCTTAAAAGTGCTTATTGATAAATTAAAAATCAATTTCAAGGGCACTTGAACAGTCCTTGAAAATACAAAACTTGTTAAAAGTGCTTGAAAATTACCAGTTTAAAATTTATCCAAGCATGAAATTATCATATTAATTTTATCATGCAAATTGCATTTATCATTTGCTATTGAGTTTTTTAAAATAGTTTTTAATACATTGGTACATCAGGAAGAGACGATTATATTGACCTATGCATGCATGGCTATGCATTTTTATGTAGGATCAATATGCTGTACAGCTGCAAGTGTTGATGGACTTTTGTTTTGCTCCGTTGCAAGTGATAAATCCTTGAAGGTCTTTGATGTTATAAATTTTGGTAAGCATGCAGTAGTCTGGTACCTCAGGAAGTTCTATATGTGATACACACACTCATTTATATAACTTATATTTTATATATTACATTCAAATGATTCTGGATACCTGCATGCATGGTAAACAAACTGCTCAGACTTGCAGAAGTTGCTTCAGGAATAGAATCAACAAAAATATGTACTTGAGTCACAAATTTATCATATTACGTTCACTGTCGTTGTTGCATTATTATGACACCTTTGAATAATATTCCCGTACCTAAAGCTCCAAAGAGGCATCCTAATTTCTTGTCGACAGTTTGTCGTCAGTGATTTTTGACGCTCTACTTTAATTCGCAAAAATAAGAATACTCAAACGGGGTATTAGGTACAGTATATATACAGTACATTATCCAGCTGCCTACAGTATATATTACTATAAATTATTTACTTTACTATTGATTGTGATGACAAAATTAACGTTAAGGTCTAGATCTTCATAATTTGATACAATTTTGTGTAGATATGATTAACATGATGAAAATTGGATACGAACCTGGACAATGTGAGTGGATATACTCGCGTGGAGCTGTCATTGCAGCGTTGGCTTGGTAAGAATAAAGAGCGTAAGATACGTTATTTTTTTATTTGTGTACGTTATTTTATGAATTTCTGCAATTTGATTGCATGGCTACGCAAGCGGGCAGCTTTTTCAGGAGAGTTGTTTTTAGCAACAAACCGAGGAGTGAAGACAATTTTCAAACTCAAAACATTACCCAAAAAGTTGAAAAACGCTCCTATCGATACTAAAGATAGTAAAATACAGTGAATTGACTTTAATCATGGACTTATTGCTAAGCCCAAAATGTACTTTTTCCGACCGAAATGCGAAACAACCCCAAATATAAACATGGAAAAACACTGGCCAGTGCTTTATTTGCCCCACATATATTCAGCTAGTCTTCGCAAAATATACGTTTAAATATAAATACTGCAACATACAACTTGCCTTAAATTAAACAAACAATTAAAAAGATGTCTTAAACGGCCAGCATGAGCGCCTCCTTTGAATTTCCTATACGAGTAAATTGTCAAACACGTCCGAAATTATCAATATATGATAATGAATACATTCGCGACACATGTTGAGCCCTATAACCCTAACATAATCTCAATCTAACCCTAATCTAATCTTTATCTTCATGACACTAATCTAATCTTGATGACCTTTTTTTAAATTTTTTTAATAATCTTTAATGAGGCCTCGGGAAAATATTTTTCCAGTACGGCCGTCCTACCCGGTATATAACATATATCTATATATATGATCTATTAGCTTATCTCGCGAAGGCCAAAATCCGCCATTTTTGGGGTACCGTCTGTCCTCGTGAAAGATTCTACGCAGTTCAAACAACGTGAGAAGCGACTTTTAATAGTTGCAACTTAAATTTACCATTATACGAACAGTTATAATACTAAACAGTTGTATGTCGTGGTGTGGAGTCTGTCAAACGTGGGAGAGGCAGTACTCCCCAAATGGCGGGAAAATCGGCCGTGATAAAGGCTAATTACGCAGACGTGACGAAAACCACACGCTAAATTGACAAAAATATGGATTTTCTTCTTCTTAATAAAGACGAACACAGATAAGAGACGTAAGTAACTGTTTTTCCGTTACGTCCGCGTAGTAAATTACTGACATCTTAAGCTATACTCGGTCTATTATTTATATAAACGTTGCGCATCAATATAGTAAGTAAAGATATAGTAAATGTTTATTGGGAGTGAGGTTTTTCAAATTTTTTGTATTGTATTTTCTCTTAGTTCTGAGAAAGATTCGGGAAAGATACACATTTATGATGGACGTGGTAATAATGTTCCACTTCACACCATTGCCATTCATACCAAACCTATTACTTTTATAAAGGTATTATTTGATTCAGTTCAGTTGAATGCATGCATGACAAAATTCGAATTGTGGTGTATATAGAATATATAAATGCAGGAGTAGTTGAAGTGGCTCAGAGAAGCTATGCCCTCCTTGTTGGGGTCTTCATGGCATGGAATTTTACCAAATGCGTTCTCAGTACCGATATGGGGGTTGGGCCAATATTTTCGCAGATTCCATTATAACCCGGAAAATTATATTCTTAATTATTTTAGTAATCTGTACTTGATTATTGTGATCCTACAATATATTAGATAATTTATGAACAGTTACTATAATTAATATAAAATAGCTTCCCTATCAGTATCTTTCATTTCAAGTAAAATCCTTTCTTCAAAAAACACTATTAAAAGCGTGCAGTTGCTGGGACCAAAAATTAATACTGGAACTTTCTGTGTTTATCATGTTCTCACTCTCCACGCCTTGTCATCTATCCCACCCTTCGACAGTCCCCAAGTCCCAATCCACCCCCTTGTTAGCGTTTCAGGAGCAATTACACCACTGCATGTATAAATGTACAGTAATAGTTAAAAATATAAGTTATTACAACGTACCTTATGTAATATGCTGCACTAAAATAGATTTACAGTAAAATTCCAGATAGTTTGTACATATACACAGTAACATACTGCGTAGCAGGTTTTGGGGGGATTTTTTGCAGATGGAATTTTCGAACGCAAATGTATATAGATTTTTTTAGAGCTAACCAGGAGCAGTTGTGAAAAATGCAACTATAAGCCATGCGGCAGAAATCTAATCTGTGGTGCCTGCGATTCTAGCACGCCGCTCTAACCAACTCAACTACAGAGTTCAGTGGCTGAGCTTCTTAGTACCAATGTTTATAGAGTCAACGTGTCACTTTAACTACGTTAATTATTTTATTTTCTTATCTGTAAGTATAATTCCAAGTATGATGTGATCGTGTCTGCGGACGAAGCTGGAATGGTAGAGTATTGGTCAGGATTAAAGGGAGACTGCAAGTTTCCTCAAAATATCGACTTTCAATACAAGACAGACACTGATCTTTTTGAGTTCGTCATGGTAAGTCGAAACGTTTTACATTATATAGATTCGCTTTTTAGCCATGAAAATATACAATTTTATGATGGAGAGAATTGGCAAAGAAAGACAATTATTTTCGCATTCAAATAATCTTTAACTATTAAGTCTCCTGTCACTTCCAATGCCATGCACAAAGACAATTTCTGAAAAAATACATTTATTTAGCTTTATTATGGAATGCATACTGCCGGCTGATGTTAGTCAATAAGATATATATCCCCCCCCCCCCCCATTGAAACTACATTTGCTGATGGGGCATTGGATTAAAATTTTAGCGTCATGAATTAAAATTTTAAGATCTAATGCTAAGCATTTCTATACCGCAAGTCGTGCCTAGCCTCCTTCGGTCATAAATAGTGGAAGCACTGCATGGACGGTAGACAACCGTAGCTCAGTGACATTCAGAATCTAGTATTCATATAGGTAATCATGCGATGGCGAGTACAATTAGGGATTAATAGTACGAGTGATGTTTTGAAATTTTGCCAAAATTGGACGAGCCGCTTGTTTATTATTAGCATGACAAAATTGGATAATACTCAATGTCCACATCATATTCTGGCTTGCCAAAGTCCAGTCCTGACAGAATTTCAACCTAAATTTTGTGCTTTTGTTCGTATTATCATTTAGTTGTTTTGCTTTAAATTCCTCTAGGGCAATTTCATTTATGTTTAAACTCGTGTTTAAATGTGTTTATGCAATAAAAATAATTAACTTCAAGCACGAGTTGTGATGTGGGTCGTTAAAATATGTAAATTATGCATTTATGCAGGGTTCAATTTCATTGACCAATCAGAAGCAGTCTGTTGTCATCGGGCGGGAGTTTGCCATTTGCTGTGCTCACGGGCTGTGCTCACTTACATACTGCTTCTCACACTGTGCACTTGATTTCCCACCCACCCACCCGATAGTGTTTCCCCCCTGCCCGCGGTGGCACCGGCTGCTTGCCTGGTTTTTGTTTTCAGGCTGCTTGCCTGTGGTCGCTGGCAGCTTGCGCCGGCCTACCTCCGGCTGCTTGCCTGCCCCTTGGGCTGCCTGCCTCCCCCCCCTCTGGCTGTTTGCTCGGGCTATTGACCCCTCCCCGTCCGGCTGTTTGCCGGGTGTTCGGCTGCTTGCCGATGTGTGTATCTGTGCATCAGCATATTTAATTTCGTGATTTGTTCGTCTGCTTGTACGTTCGTTTGTCGCCTCTCCATTAGTCCTTATGTCTGTCCGTGAAGCGCTTATTGTCTGTTGTGTGTGTCCTTGGCACAGCGTAAATGGTGGGGGTAGTCGTTTTTTGTCAACCTTGCTAGCAATGTCCAGTGTTGTGTTCGTTATTTGCATTATGCCGCATTCGCTCGTCGGGCTTGCTCCCCGGCTAGTCCGGGTGATTTCTTTTAGATTGGTATCCTGCGTTATCCAGCGTTCTTTGGTTCCCCTTTGGTCGGTAGGTGCATATAGTTAGTTGTGCTTGGCTTAGTATGCTTACCAGGTAAGATATCTCGTACGTTCATGTTACTATTCGTTCGGTGTTTTTTATTAATTCCGTCTCCACCCGTGGTGTGACGTTAGCTCTGTCCTTGGAGAGGCTAATTCTTGGCATCATTGATATTAGTCAAGTCGGGATGGCTGAAAGTCTCTTCTACCGAGAAGACAGCTGCGCAGAATGGAGTTCATCGTAAACCTCTCCAACAGACTTACACCCTCCAGAGAATTACTTGCTTAAGCTCGAGTGCGTTAGATGTTAAATACCTTTCCGCCATTTTGTTTGTTTTGGGAAAATCATTAATTTTGTACTCCTCTAAACCAATCAGCATCCAGTAATTTTGTCATGCTAATAATAAACAGTGTAATTGGCTCTCCTATAACCAGATGTGCCAACCTGAGGACAAGACATGAAAGAATTATTTTTTCTAGTCCTATATGATACTTCGATTAAAATAAGGTTATTTTGTCAGATTATGCGCCAGCGAGATATGATTGTTGTGATTATTGCTTTTGCAGTGGGTTCATATATTTCTTGGGTTTCTTGCTCACTTTTTCACAGAGCATTCAAAGGGTTGCTACTTAATATGGCTCCACAACTATTTCGTCAAATTATCATATTGTATTTTGTTTAGTGTAAAACAATTCCAACATCCCTGGCGTTCTCTCCTGACGGCAAGCTTTTCGCAACGATGGCCACGGACCGCAAAGTTCGCATCTTCCGATTTTTGTCTGGTAAAAAAAATCGTGTATTTGACGAAAACCTGCAGGTGTATACAGATATGCAGCAATCCGGTCGACATTTACCTGACATGGAATTTGGAAGGCGTATGGCGGGAGAAAAAGATCTTGAAAAGACTAAGAACTTGCGATATTCGAACATTACATTCGATGAAAGTGGTTATTTCTTATTGTACGCCACACTTTTTGGCATAAAAGTTATAAACATTCACACGAATAGGTGTGTTCGTATTATTGGTAAGAACGAGAATGTACGCTTTCTTAGTTTAGCGTTATACCAAGGAAAACCTAGTCAGGGAAAAGCAGCTGCAACACTGGTAAGTTATGTATACAAATTATATACTCATTAATCGGACCTGCGGATATATATAAGCTCACAATACGTCTGAATTATTAATGATAGTAATAATAATAAATGTTTTAATAAAACGCTTTGCAGTTATACAGACCTGAATTACACGCTTAAACTAGCTATGACAATGAGCTTTTAGATATATTACGAATATAAAATTATCTACTGAACAATATTAAATAAAATAGTAAATAAAACCTGTGCATGCAGTACTTTAATCGAGTTTCATGCCTGGTATCTAGATGTACATGTACTATTTAAAACACGAGCAGGCGCCGTGTTTTATCAGATATAAAATGCGAGAACGCATCTCGAGTGTTTTATATCTGGTAAAGCATGGACTGTGAATGTTTTAAATGGCTTAAAAAACTACCCATCTGATGAGTTCATAGGCGAAGTCATTTTAAAACTAAACGTCTGAGCCGTGAAAATCAAAACTAAAGTTTATGTAAATTAATGAACATAATTTCTATCACATATAAAACCACCGTGATTTTTTTTTCCTTTAGGAAACTGAAGCAGCCGACAACCCCTCATTAAACAAGTCAACAACGGATCCCACCATATTTTGCACAGCGAACAAAAAGAATCGTTTTTATATATTTACCAGAAGAGATCCTGACCAGAGGTGTGCTGTCTTATTATTTTCTTTTTGTGGTATAATATTTCCTCTGCATGTTTGCTTATTTCGTTTCTCGCTGTCGTTTTCCTTTGCTTGTCTGGAGTTTGTCTACATGGCAGTTGTAGTAATGTTGTTTATTCAGAAAACGGTATGGGATTAATTCCAAACTTATCTTGCCAAGATAGCTTATAATAAACTAAACCTTTGTGCCACGATATTTTGTTTACATGCCCAAGAGTGCCCATAAAGTAATGGCGTGATGTCGAGGTCGACAACTTAATCTATTCTAAATGAGCATGCGCAGTTTTCGTTACCAACCAGCAAATTCCCAGTTAAAATCATTGTACTGTATTTATCGTGGCGAAATATCTCATTCTAGATCACACATTGTTTCTGTTATGTAGTGCTGAAGGGGATAGAGATGTTTTTAATGAAAAGCCGTCAAGAGAAGAAATCTATGCTGCTACGGAGGTTGGTTTTTTGCTTTCACGTATTAAGTTAGTGGATTAGTCCATGCATTAATAAAATTTATCAACTCTCTATAGGTGCAGATGAGAGATTAAGTCATAAATATATCAACTTCGTTCATCAAATAGGAATTCAATGCATTGTGGGAAACAACTGGGGGATTTACTAACCCTCGATTTTTATGAGGCGTATGCACCTCCGAGGTTTACTAGAACAGTATAGATTTTCAATTAGAACAGTAAATTTTTACTAAGTTTGCGCAGGTGCCTTGCATGGTTCTTCGAGTCCCGTTTGCGCCTCGCCCATTTAGGGTCTCCGAATAATTAGACTTTATAATTAGACTTTGTACATATACTGTAGTGGACCCTAATAAAGACAATAATAATAATAATAACTTCATTTCATTATAACGTGCACTATTTTAGTGAAATATTTAATATTTTTTTGTTGTTAAATTAATGTGGGCTGTGATAAATTTGAACTCTCTTTATGAAAAATCTTGAATAGTGATATATGTTACATCTTGATCATCACAATAGTTTTTCGTCGTATTTACATTCCAAGCTTATAGATGCACGATCTTGGGCAGATTTTTACTTCATCGTTTTGTTAACTATAGATTAGTCAGCTTGAAGCATCGACGTATACGTCGGGCAATGTTACTTAAATTTGCACTTAACATTTTTTTGCATTTTTGCATCAACAATTTCCCTAAATCATTTGCGTTATACAGTGCTTAGAGTACATTCGTGTAGTATATATTTATATATAGTTTGGAAAAACTATGCATTCTTTTTTTAGTCAAGTGGAGGGTTGGATCGTGTTGCTGAGAGCGCTGTTATTCATACAACTATGGGTGATATCCAAGTTAAGCTCTTTGTCAAAGAGTAAGTATAGTTATATAGTAATAATGGTCAGCTTAATTTAACAGATCACAGTACAGAAACTGCATTACACAATAATAAAATTGTTTATGGTTATAAATTATTACAGTAGTGTCACCTCAAGGGATCGCTGATTCATGCTATAGATTATTTTCTTTGTTTTATATACTGTACGACTTTGGATGATCTGGAGGCTTACTGTGCCCAGGTTTATGATCAAATTAAAATAATAAACAATTATTGGATGAGGCCGAGCATGACATCAAGAATTATTCAGACCGAGGTCAATGGTATCTGCCGAAGCGAAGCTGAGGCGGATAACATTGACCGAGGTCTGAATAATTCTTGATGTCATGCGAAAGCCAAATCTAATAATTGTTTTATTATACATTTAATTAAAGACATCAGAAACGATTAAACGAAGTTCATTAATGTTTCTATTGTGAGCCATTTTGTTTATTTTATTTTCGGGCGCTTTTGGGTTCGAGTTGTTGGCGGGGCTTGGGCAAGACAGCGTCCAATAATTTCTTTTTTGCATGCAAGTCCGATCCAAAAAAACTATTGTTGGACGCTGAGCACGTCAGCAGCTGAAATTGTCAATGACAAGAAACATTGTTTTAATGTGTTCAAGGCAAGCAAGCATGCATGCAGAACCATACGCGTCTTTGTGATCAATTTTAAGAGTGATTTTCTGACATTACTTTTCAATTCGTACCTATAAAAACTGTGAATAATTTTTATTTCATCTTTCTCTTCCGTTCGTGAAAATAAATAAGAGCTCAGTAGAGTTCAGAGTTGTTTATTTAGAGCTCAGAGTTGTTTATTCAGATTTTGTGTTTAAATTTCTGCACTCGCGTGAGCGTGCGGAATGGACGTGGGCTCGTATTCGTGCCGATTAATCTTTAATCGGCGCATCTGTGCGATTAATGTATCATAGGCGCAGTTTTTAACCAATCGGAATTGAGTAAATTGACAAAAATTATATTATTAAAACAATTATCAAATACCAAACTTAATCAAAAGCAGTACATAGCCAGTGCCTATATTTCAATTGTATTATAATAACGCTTTTACTGCAATATTTTAATTTTGAATTGATATTACACATTTTATGGCAAATCCAAGAAAGATTTGATCATGGAAATGGAATATTGCATTGTAATATCAATTGGCCTATTTTCATGTCTTAGGTGCCCGAAGACAGTAGAGAATTTCGTCGTGCACAGTCGAAATGCTTATTACAATGGTCACATATTTCATCGTGTTATAAAACAGTTCATGATCCAGACAGGAGATCCATTGGGTATGTATTTTTTCGAACTAATGCATGTATTGTCAAGAAGGTTTACATTGCGTATGTGATGTGATTTGTGTAATGATTACTGTTTGTTCTTACATGCATGCATACGAATACGATTTTTGGTTTACAGGAGTCTCATGCACATGATATACACGCTCTCATTGAGATAGGAATGTTCGGTATGAGAAATTTCCGGTATCGGTATACCGAAAAAATTATACCGATATTATCGGTATACCGGTTTTCCTTTGATAATTATAAAGGAAAATTATTTAATGGAAGTTTGAAGGAAATTTTGAGTAATTCTAAAAGGGAAAACGATAATTTCGAAGCTGTTTCGAACATGTTTCAAACGACATGCACGTACTCAGTGTAAAATCTCATTGAAGTGGAAACTCTAAATCATTGCAGTAGAAAGTTCTTTGAATTGCCATTCAGTAGTAAAATAAAGGTTATGGTTTCGCCATATAGTTGGTAAATTTAACACGGTATACCGAAAAATTCCGGTATATCCGAAATTTCGGTATATCGGTATGGTTGAATATCCGATATCGATACACCGATATTGATTTAATACCGATATTTTCGGTATATTGGTATACCGAACAGTCCTACATTGAGAGCAATAGTTGTTTTTGACATTTTGGCGCGGTCACTAATTCAATATCAGAAACGTCAACGGAGTCACGTTGCGGCCATTTATGCAATAGTATGTCGTTAAAAATACATATTTATTCGATTCGTCAAATAATTGCTGTTGTCTTCCATTGGGAAATAAAATTCATTTACATTAATTGCACACTTTGAGATTTATGCCTAGAGATACACTGTAAATTTTAAGGAGTTGAATCAACTCTAAAAGTGTCATTCTGTCACCGTTGTTCGTGACAGAATAACTCTTTTGGACTTGATTCAACTCCTTAAAATTTACAGTGTATTAAATGAAAACGTGCTCAAATCACACCCAAACTAACACATAAAGATAATTTATGTACATGTTGTAGTAGAGCTAAACGAATTTTATTCGGATTACAGATTTTTGGAATCCATTAGAATTCATCTCTCTAAATCTATTATTTCAAAATGGATACCCGTTATCCCAGTTTTATTTTGGTATGTTTTGTAGGCGATGGTACTGGTGGTGAGTCGATCTGGGGTGGAGAATTTGAAGACGAGCTTCATCATAACTTGCGTCATGATCGTCCTTATACCCTAAGTATGGCGAACGCAGGTCCAAATACGAATGGTTCTCAGTTCTTCATTACAATCGTCCCTGCGGTAGGTTTTGGAATTACAAGATGTTTTGTTATACTACGTTTGTTTCTCTGTGTTAGCTTTAACGAAAGTTTCAGGGTTTATTTGGGTGGAATATTTATCATGTCATTACTCAATGTCAGTGATGTCAAGTAACGAAGTAAATGTACTTCGTTACTGTACTTGAGTACTATTTTTGAGAAGTGAGCATGTAACAAAGTACTTTTGGAGTACTTTTACTTGGAACGAAGTCAGTTTAAGAAGTAACGTTTTACTTCGTTATTATTTTCATTTTGTTACTTTCTAACTTTTGTTTAATTTTACGTTAATGACTCAAGTTGTTGATTTTTTCCTCCACTTTGTTGACAAACACAATATTAAACACGATTATTTATTTTTGTGGGAGAGGGGTTCGGGGTTGTGAAGAGTCCATTTACAGTATATGACAAGCATCATGCCTACTCATATGTCACACTAGGATGGTGCCAATTAGGATGGGCTGTGTTATGCCCTGTGATTGGTCAAAGCACAGAACAGAGTCATACAAGGTTTTCAATTGGTTCACAGTATGTTTCACGGTTTGTTCACGTGAATGTGTGCTAGCTGGCAGAAAATGATCTTTGACCTATCTGTCAAAATCTTTGACCAAACTGTCAAAGATTAGGTTGATATAAACCATATCTACCTCCTCATCTTACCATCACACCTTGCCTCATTAACTTAAATTTATATAGGCTATAAATTTGCTTGATTTATTTCATATTTATTTTAATTTCGGGATGCGTGATACGACCTCTACATGCGTCTGGGATCTCTCGTTTGTGACTTACTTATAAGCATTATTTATTTAATGGATTTCTTATATCTTCAACTGTCTGGAAAGTAGACCATGCCGTGAAATATTGTATATTCGGTGCACGCATATAATGCGTGTGCTGTTTTGTGTCTTTTGTATGTCAATCCATTGGAGAAGTCCCCCTCCACCTCTACACGCTACAGACAATAGTACTTTTACTTTGTACTTCAAGTATTTTTTAAGGATACTTTCTACTTTTTACTTAAGTACGTTTTGCTTCCAGTACTTTTTACTCATACTCAAGTAGTTTTATTGTTAATTACTTCTACTTTTACTCGAGTACAAATTCAAAGTAATTTAGGCACCACTGCTCAATGTATTGCTTCGCCTATTTGATTGATCGAAATAACCGAGCATTTGTCTTCAAAAATCACTTAAAGTGGTGATACTATTTTTCCAACTTGTCCATGTTAGTTGTCCAAATTAGCTAAAGTTATTTCAGTATTTTTCTGTATAAAACTGATTGTTTGTTTGGTATACCGATCATGAATATTTGTTTGCATTAGTGAAAACGATGCAAAAACGACATGAATGCACTATACTGTATATATACTGTAGTTGCAAAATTATTCATCCTTTTAAAAAGTGGCTAATTGTTTTAAAAAGTCTCTAATTGTTTTAAAAAGATGCCGTTCATATTGTGCCCTGTAACACAGTCCACGCTGGTTTCTTTAAATTTTTGTACTTTTGCTTCTAGCCGTGGCTCGACAACAAACACACTGTATTTGGTCGTGTTGTGAAGGGAATGGATGTAGTTCAAGAAATAAGCAACGTATCAACTAATCCAAGGGACGATAAACCATATGAGGAGGTGAAAGTGATAAATATTACTCTCAAGTAGGCTCAGGTATTACTCTCAAGTAGCTGAAAACCGATTGCGTCGTTACAATATTAGTACAATATTAATCCGCTTCAATATTTCACGCCCGTCTGGGTAAGAACCCTTAGTATATATGCATGACAAACACTTGTTTATGCAGCGACATTATTTGGAAGATAATGCCAAGCCCCTAATTATACACTCTTTTTATAATAACCCGTAGTCGTGCCAGTGCTATGAATTTTATTACACTTTGTCTTCCATGTAAATATACATAAATATACTGTACATACAGTGCTATGAATTTTATTATACTTTGTCTACATGTAGATACATAATTGTGAAATCGTATTCTCCAGGATCGTATTTCACACAATATTGTATAATTATCTTTTTCCAACCAAATTAAACAGTCGTATTCCAAAAAGAAACACCTTCACTTGTATGCTTATTGCTTGAGGCAAATTTTCGTTATATTTCGACTTGTTTCAAATCTTCATTAAACTGAGAATGCCATCAACCCCGAACACGCTGAGCGATTCATGTACCCTGCATAGCGGCTCACATGGGAGGGGAGGGGACGGAAAGGGGGGGGGGGAAGAGAGCACGCATGATATCCACTGTTTTGCCATTCCCGCCCACTTACTTAGCTGTGGGCTACGCCCACTTTCAACAGTTGTCAAAATTGGCCAATTACAAAGATTGTTCACGTTCATTTAATTTAATTTTAAGGTTATTGACATCCCCAAAACGGGTTTTTCAATCACAATTTACAGTTATTATGTACAATTAAAATTATTCACAAATTGTCTATTCTATATTAAAATTGTCAACTAATTATTGGTTACCAAGATTAAAATCTAAATTCTATATTTCCATCAAAAAGTCCTGCTTTTAATTTAGATTTAAATTGTTGATATCAACAATGGATTTTAATTCTTCGTACAATGTGTTCCAGATTTTGGTTCCTCTGTATTTGAATGTTCTTTGGCCGGTCGCGGTTCGATACTTTGGAATTTCAAGTTCATTTTGGCTTCGTGTAGCGCGATCATGGATTTGATTTCTTTTTATGAACTTGTGACCTAAGTACGGGGGTGCTTAACTATGTATGCATTTGTAAGTGAGGACAGCATCTCTGTTTTGTAGATGCTCTTTCATTGGTGACCAACCGATTTTTTTTTTAATAAAGGAGATACATATTTACCGACATTTCCTGAAATAACCCTGACTGCATTATTCTGAATTAGCTGGATTTTCTTAATGTTCTTTTCAGATGTATTGGACCATATTGAAGAGCAATAGTTGATTTTACTCATAAGTAGTGCGTTTATGATGGTGGTTAGTGTTGATTGGTCAAATAGATGCTTTACCCAGTTGATCTGACAAAGTGTGGAGATACATTATGGTAAATGCCGTATGTGTTCATTATACTTTAATTTAGAGTCAAGTATTGTCCCCAAGTCTTTGACTTGCGATAGAGGTTCCAGGGCTTTTCCAATCAAATTAATGCTAGGGACATTATCCAGTTGTTGAAGCAATTATTGTGATCCAACGACCATCATTTTAGTTTTGTCTGGATTTATCAATAAGCTGTTCTTGCAACACAATTCGAACACTCTATGAAAGTCGTCTTCTACAGTATAGTTGATAAAGAAGAGTCCAAAGTCGGCATTGAAAAGGATAGGTACTCTTTGGAGTCGTCCACGTAAGATTCGAGGCTACATAATTCTGGGATTGAACATAGACTGTCTGTAAATATTAAATAGGAACTGTGAAAGCACGAGCCGTGTGCTAATGGAGCCGTAGTTGAGGTGGTTGTTCCTATACGGACATATTGAGATCTATCCGCCAAATAGCTCCTAACCATTCCTGGACTGCAGGAGAGACGCCTATTTAAAACGTAGTATCTTTTGGAGAAGGATGTTGTGTTTTATAGTGTCAAAAGCTTTGGACATGCAGATCAATAAAGACCACTATGGATATTTGTTTTTTGTTCATTTCTTGTAATAGCTTGTGTGTGAACGCGACGTTGAGTGTCTCAGTTGAATGATTTTTAGGATTTCCACTTTGATGATTTGATAGTAAGGCCCCGTTTACATGAGACCGGAACGAAGTCAAACCGGACCATTTCGTTTCGGTCATAGTATTATTTATAATGGATGTTTACATGAGACCGGGACGAAAATAACTCAGACCCTCTCTCCTCCGCAGAGGTTTCGGTGTTATCGAAGAAGCGGGAAACCTCTGCCAGAAGTCACGCCCAATAGTTCAAAATACCGGAGGGGAGGAGTTTTTGAGAAATTTGTTAATTGTTATTGTTAAATGTAATTGTTAATTTGTTATTCTCACAACTATCAAAAGTGTTTATATCTATGGACGACGCAAATTTAGTAAAAAAACGTGACCTAAAACACTCTTGTTTTGGAAAAGCGTTATTGTTAGAATGGAGGAATGGGAAAACGTGTTGTCATGCGTGTTTTACAGAATATGGGAAAATCGAAATATTTTTTTAAAATGGACTTTATGCCCATTACACTTTACAGATCGCTTCATCGGCGATCGGATTTCAGCGAAGAAACAACGGTTAAAAAAGGAGTAGAACTACTGCAGGACTTGGTTGCAACTGAAACTTTTAACAATCTCATGCAAAAGCTTTCCAATATGAGGCGATTAACCACTTAGGTTGTTGTTCTTGTTCAGCTTTGGATGGGCTTAGTTGATGCTAGACATGCTTGCAACACAACATCTGCTTGACTATCTACATTAAAGTAAAAATTTGCATAATTGTAAATCAAGGTAGCCAGATACAGGCAGATTTTTATAAAAATTGAATCCTATTTGACATAATCAACAAACTATTGTTTACCAATATATATTTATCGCTTCCCCCTAAATGGACAATACTACCCAGTCCCCTTAGCGGCAATTTTGCAGTACTGACGAGCTCCGTTTTCTGTGGATACAAAACAATAAGACTATTACACCCATTTGGGAAAATAATGGCTATGTGCGTGAGCACATGCCGATTTATTAATTAATCCAAAATGAATATTAATTTCCATAAATGACAATAATAGTTCTCACAGAAAAGGTGGGGGCATTCTCCCGCCACCTTGAACAAAACTAATCTAATAAGTGATCGGTAACAGCACACAACGAAAGAAAATAGGGGAGGGAAGGGTGGGACTTTGGAAGAAAGTATGCAAGTGTTGCTCCTGACTGACTTCGGTAGAATAACCTAACCTTGACACTCGCGCCTTTTATACGCAGCATCAGAGTAAAATTCCCAAATGTAGCAACTTCTCCCCGTGATATTTCGTTGTATGCGTTACGTCATCATTTCATTAGCTATAGTAAATCTAACTATATATATATATTAGGGAAAGCAATAAAATTACTATTCGGTGAACAAATATTTCCTTTATCGCTTCCCCCTAAATGGACAATACTACCCAGTCCCCTTAGCGGAAATTTTGCAGTACTGACGAGCTCCGTTTTCTGTGGATACAAAACAAGACTATTACACCCATTTGGGAAAATAATGGCTATGTGCGTGAGCACATGCCGATTTATTAATTAATCCAAAATGAATATTAATTTCCATAAATGACAATAACAGTTCTCACAGAAAAGGTGGGGGCATTCTCCCGCCACAAGCATCCTTGGGTTGGAGGCACCCCCACCCGAGCAGAACTGCAAAGAGCCAAACTAAACCCAACAAAGTAGGTGGTAAATCAACTGATAACGCTATCGAAATGCACATTTTAATAAATTGTGTTTACTTGCAATGCCAATTTAGTAAAAGTAAGGAACTGAACCGACCGTATACGCCTTGCCCCTGCGTCAGCAAAACGGCATGGAAACAGAACCTTACCCCCAACGCGGATCAAATAGAAATGTGCGACTTAAAACCTGGAAAATAATACTTCGGCTACTTGGTCAACTATGCAGCCATATCGATCCCCATTCACATAAGATTAACTTCTCAAACTACTCGTAGTTATGTTTGACATGCGAATGTACTTTCGGAATGCGTCAGATTTCCAACGCCCCATAACGCGAATCTGCGTATCTGAAAAACCACAGTCCGCGGCGAAAGTGGCAGCACCAATACGAAAGCTGTGACCTTTATATTTAGAGGAATCAAGGCCACAGCTACGGAAAACTAATGACAAAAATTCAGAAAAGGTTTTACGAGAGACAGCATGTCCATCTAATGTTTTAAAAAGTGGGCCATCAGAGAGCCCCCGATGCGAAAAATAATCCAGAAGGCTCTGCACCGGGCATATGTCCGTACGACGAGATAGTGTAATTGCAATACTCGGATGGTTATAGGAATGCTTAAAATCAACGAATTTAATCTTAAGGCCAACGATAGCGCCAGACGGATCCTCAAGCTTGACCACCTGTTTTACTTGAAGAACCGCTGGAGACCGGGGACAGTAAGTAATTTCCCCAACCCTTAAAAATGCAAAAAATGCCGTTGTACAATGGCCTTAAATAGAAAGGCATTGTAGACATTAGAACACAAAGATGGGATGACTTCGTTGATATTCAGAAGTATAGGTAATGTAATAGGAAGGCGGCTGTCAATGCGCAGACCCATTTTCCTGTAACCTTTCAACATTTCCATAACCCAAAACACCTTAGAAGGGTCAGGGAGCCCCATCAAACGATGACAATAGCCAAGTGCAGAGACATAGTATTAGTAGTGGAGACCGCGTACTGATGTTGAAACATATAAGCAATAAACAAGCCTAGATTTGAGGGTGACAATGGCAACGAAATTGTTGCTGTGTTCATCACGGAATGGGAAAACTGAAGCTGGCGGACAAAAATCATAACTGTTACATCGCGCGACGTTGCCCTATTAATAATATCGACCAATGCTGCATTGTCTGTGAAGAAAATAATACGCTGATTTCGCATCAAATGACCCCACATGAGCACACTCAAAACAATGGGATAAAATTCCCAAATAACTATATTTATATGTTTCCAATGCTCAGGCCATTCACCGAAACACCAAAACTGACAAAATAAAGCTGCAAAACCCAAGCTAGCTGCAGAATCGGTATACAAATTTAAATGGACAGAATTAGACCAGAAATCCCCCAGAAAAAACGATCGGCCATTGAAATTATCCAAAAATGATTTCCATATACGCAAATCCGCTTTGACAGATCTACTAAGCCGGATAAAATGAGACGCCTTTGGTCAAATCTATAAGACGACGCAAAAAAGCCCGCCCTGGCACAACAACAGAACAAGCAAAATTAAGAAGGCCAATTAATGACTGTACCTCCTTTAAAGTAGCTTTCTTGCGCTGTAGAAACATCGAAAGGAGGGCTTTGGATTTAGTTATTTTATCCGCTGGTAAACGTACTTCAAATAATATAGTGTCTAATTCAATTCCGGCAAATGTCAAAGTGGTTTGAGGACCGACAGTTTTTTCCGGAGCAATCGGAACACCAAGATACTCGCAAAGTGATAAAAAATTCTTCAAGTCAGTTTCATATGATGAAGCTGCC